AGTCTCCAACTCATTCAATTTTTGTGAGCTAGTTTATTGTTCACCAATCTTCCCATCTCCTGACTTGGAACAGTTTTTCAGCTCCCTTATAATAATTGGGTGGTGGAGGTTAAGCTTCAATAACGTCAAACTTTTTCCTAACACACACACACATATATATGTTTCAGTATACTGACAGGGTCTATTTACACAAACATCTACCTTCCTTACTTTTTTTGGAACTGCCCTCACTAACAGATATAGTGTTACATTTGCTTTGGTTACTATTGAGAAATCCTGCAGCAATTTTGAACAGGGAAACGTCTAATGAGTGCAGGGCAAATTGCTCTCACAGCCTTCAAAACCATCCATGTCCATGTATTTGCCATGCCTAGCATAAAGTATAGAAAGTAGGAAACTAGTGTTTTCATATACTGTACATATATCATCCACTACATCAGCTACATTTAAAAAAAATGTGGTGGATTGTTCAGGAACATCAGAAGAGAGTGCTGGATCAGGCCACCTAGTCTGACATCCTGTTCTCACAGCAGATAACAAGATGCCTATGAAAAGCCCACAAACAAGACCTGTTATTGATGGCATCATGCACACACGACAAAACCTTTCAAAAGTACCCAATATCACTATCGTGTTAACCTCCTCCTCTTTCCAGTAACAGAAAAGCATGAAACATTCTGAACAGAAGAGAAAGCAAAAATAAAAGGTCTTCCTGGCTGTGCCAAGACCTCCTTTATTAATGTTTTATTTATGCTTTTACAGTAAATTGGTACATCCAACTGGTAAATTGGAGCTGTGACCTCCTATACAAACATAGGAAGTTGCTTTACATCAGATCAAACCCATTGATCTTTGATCACCTTCATGCTATATATTTAAAGACGGAGCTGTTCCGCCAGGCCTTTGGGCAGGATGCAGTTTGACTTACTTTCCTTTGTATAAAACAAGCCCAAAGGAGGCCCCCAACCCGCTCACAGGTCCTTGTATGACCAGTGGAAACAGTTGGTCCTGGCAAGTACTCAATTCCAACCTAATAATTGCCACCTGCCCAGATTTTAACTTGTCTGAATTAATTTTAAGATGTATTTTAATTAACTGATGTCTGTTTTTATGTATATTGTCTTGTTTTTATGATGTTAGCCACTCTGAGCCCAGCCTCGGCCAGAATAAATAATTATTATTATTATTATTATTATTATTATTATTATTATTATTATTATTATTATTGCACTGTTATGCCACTTTAACACTCATGAGGAATCCTGGGAACTGTAATTCTGTGTAGGTCAGCACCCAAAACAAACGACAGTCCCCAGGATTCTCCATGACTGTCAAAATAATATAACGGTGCTTTAAATGTATGTTGTGGATGCGACCTTTGGCAGTGGCTCTCCAGAGCTTCATGCAGAGGGTTTCTCACACCACCTGCTGCCTGAGCCTTCTTAAACTCGAGATGCCAGGAAGCTGCAGTTCCACCTCCAAATACAGGACCTTGCACTGTATTCTTCTCCTCCATTAAAGCATTCCTGGTTCAGCATGAGGCAATTAGGTTCCAGGAAGGCTCAGACCTAATCCCCATGAGACTCCTTGCCCTAGGTTTAGATTTCTTTGAAGACTTTGATACTTCTGTTGCCAGGCTGCAAATAGTTAGAGAACAGAAATGGAAAAAATGCTTCATGGAAGGCACATCTTTCCGTGCAATTAAATGCTTAAAGCGGCACTTTTAAAACGTTTGGACCCGCAAAGATATTTTGATAGGTGCACAATGAGCTTTTACTCAAAGCTCTCTTAGGTAATAATCCAAGATCTGAAACTCCCATTTCTCTCCCACAAGTCTCTGGACATTCAGGAGTCAAAGCACATTTAGGCCAAAGGAAAAAAATAATAGACTATGGGCATGGATGGGTACATCACATTCCCTTGACCCTTCAGCATTGTATCTGCAGACGACTTGAGTAAGGTCTAGGGTTGTGCATATTCAAAATGTTCCCTATGGCCTGGCACCATGCTTCTGTCCTCAGTGAAATGTGGTAGAAGCCCTTCTTACAGACTCTACTAGAGTAGTGCAGGACTTTGCATGGCATTTCCATGACTGTGCATGCGCTGTTCTTATTTGTTGATATACTCCTTAATATTCCGCCAGAAGTTCATGTCTGCAGTCAACGGGGCTAAAAGGTTTATCACTACAACAAGGAACCTGAGTAGGGATTAGAAACAAAGTTTCCCTGGTCCAAATCCTGCACAAGTCCAAGTCATGTCCTCATTGGGAATGTCCAACCAGTCATGACACAGGGCATTCCTACAGCCTTGGTTGAGTGTAAGAAGTACAGCATCACATCATGGGTTGTTGCAGGGGAAATATTCTTGTTGGGTAAGTCAGAGATTTTCAACCTTTTTGAGTCCACGGCTCCCTTAAGCAACTACCTTCTTTCTGCGGCACCCCTGTGGGGCTCAGGAGCCCAGTTAGGTCACCCCTTGACCACAGAGCTGGCAGCCTCTCACCCCTTTTCGAACATCCTCCTCTGTGGAGTGTTCCCTCAGCCTCCTCTTCTCCTGCCGCCGCTGTTCTGGCTGCCCCCCACCCTACCCCAAAGAGAGGTGCCTTCCAGAGGCACCATTCACCTGCACAGTTTATAGCCAGGGCTGCTGCAATAAACAGCCGTGCAAGCCTTTGGGAGGCAGAGACATGAGAGGGCATCAAATGGAGGGAGGGAAAGAAAGAGGGACAGAGGCTAGTGTTGCCCATGGCACCCCGACCATCATTCAAGGCACCCCAGGGTGCCACGGCACACTGGTTGAAAACCACTGGGGTAAGTGATAGTCAAGCTGGTATGCAGGCTGGTTAGTTAGTGACAACTGATAAAATTACATCACTGACTATACCCAGGAGTTACCCATAACACAACCTGAAGCTAATCACAACAACCATAGATGCACTGTTGTGGAGTGGGATGTAGTTTCCTAGGCACGCAAGGAAATAGAGGAATCAAATAGTACAAGCAGATCATCTTTACTTGTAAATCTGGCAATACTCACCTGCATGCCTAATACTGCATTGTTTGTGTGTTTGCGGGCAGGAGCTATTTGCAGGAATGTTTATAAGACCAGTAACACTCAAATGGTATGTGCTTGACCAATGATGATCAGATACATTTGTGCAAATTTACTGAATTGAGTAATAATGATAAATCACAGATGCAAATTTTGAAGCAAGCTATAAAATGAATTTTTAAAGACTCAAGTTACTAAAAAATTGAACAAGGCATTCTTTGCTAGAGTTAATATGCAGCCAAAGGCCACCTTGGCTGCAAAGTACTATAAAATATAACATTTAGTGAGTGGAAAATGCAATCACCCTGAAACAAAAGCCCAGTCTTGAGGAAGGATACACAGGCAGCACACAAATAATGGGCAGCACATGTACATTTGCAGTGTTAGAGATCAACATGTGCAGAAAGGCCTTTAGTGGCATTTCCCCATGAGTTTACCATTCTTTTTGTTAAAGGGCTACTCTGCGTCATAATCCATGTTGCATGGGGATGTGGGATAGATGTTTTACACAGTCACAATTTGCATACGCACACAAGAAGCCATAATATGGAAAAGTTCCATAGTTAAAGTAAACTGGAACATTCCTGTAATATTGCACTTTTCCAGGAAAAGGTACAGAACTATGTTATTGATGAAGAGCCTCACTGCCTGCCACTCCTCATATTAGTTTTGTTAGAAACTGCTGCATGTATTTTGAAAGATCTTTATATAGCCATTCTACTGGAAGGCTGCCATTATAGAGAAGCAATAACAACAAACTACAGACCCTTGCCCTTCACCCCTATAACACGTCCAGTGGTAAATTATTCAGCTGAGCATCTTTTTCTCACAATTAAATCCCACTAAATTCAATGGGATTTACACCCTGGTGGGTTTTTCCAATGAGATTTCCTCCCTGTGCTTAGATTTCAGCCTTTGTAATATATGTACTTTCCCTTCCTCCTGTTAAAGATCCTGGATTTATGAATTTTCAAAACAATGCTTGGCCAGAGTCTCTCTCACAAAAGCATATTAACTTTTTCCAGATCAGACCAAGGTCAACTGGTTCCACTGTTCAGTTTCCAGGGGCAGCAGATGCCTCTGGTTACTCATGATCAAGGCGTGAAGGTGGTCGCTTTCTCCTGCCATTTGTGCCCAAGAGGTATAAACTGCTCCTGGACATGGGGGCTCAACTCAGTAGTTAAAACTGCTTTGATAGACCTACACTCCATTCACTTGCCTAATCCCTGGGTGTCCAATGTAGCACCTCTTGGCACACATGCGCCCTTGACACCCACAGGGTGCCTGCTCCTCCCACTGCAGAAATTAGGCTTGAAGGAAGCATTTAGCTGTAGCCAACTGAACAGGTTGTGGTGTGTACTTGGTTGTGAGGGTGGCAGCAGCTGTATAAACACATTAAACTTAAAGAGCAAAAAAGAAAGAAACCTGGGTTCGCTTCTACATACTTTCATCCTTAATTCAGACTTTGTGATATATCGGTATATTGCAATGCTCAGCTGGTAACGTATCACAATGTTGAAAACTAGACATCACCCTGTCTTACAGGGAACTGCAGTTTGTGCTGAGAACTGAACCCGAGAGGGGTGAACTACAGTTCCCAGGATTTTTTTTGGGGGGGGGTGTTGTGTGTGTTGTGTTACCTACCACATTTCCTCCAGTTTGTGAATAAACTCAAGGCCCCTAAATGTTGGCGACGCCTGGTCTAATCCTTTTTTTCAAAAACCAGCTCCTAACTCCAGTAGAAGGCGTACTTTTCCTTGCCAGCCCTGACCCGCCTAGCAGTCAGCTTTGTTTGGGTCTCTCTGGAATTCTACTATTTTTTTGGGGGGGGGGGGAATAATACTTCTCTCCAGTCCACAGTAGGGCAAATATGGACACGTCCCACAAGTCACCCCAACCACAACACACACACACACACACACACACACACACACACACAATCTCCTTACCCCGATGGCCTTTCTCCCGCATGGCCACATAGGCCTCGTACACGTCCTTCTTGACATAGTTGAGGAAGCCATCCTTCCGGGCAAACTTGCAGACGAAGGCCTGCTCGTAGAGGCAGTCGAGGAGGAAGCAGCTGTGGATGCCGTCTTCCCCGTCCCCCCCGGGGACCTTCTCCACCAGAGCCAGGTTGCACTGCGGGTGCTTGCAGCAGGCCCGCACGCAGTCGCGGCCCCTCTCCACCGACGGCGAGGACAGGAAGGTGGCTCCGTTTTCCACCGAGGCGTCCGTGTCCAGGACGAACTCGGGCAAGCCGGCCGTGAAATGGGCCTGGCACCTGTCTCCGAAGGAGACTCCTTCCGCCGCCTCTTCCTGCCCGACGGCTACCAAGGCAGCCGCGACGAGCTGAAGCAGCAGCCCAGCCTGGACGTGAATCCGACGGGGGAGCATCGTGACGCAGGCGGAGCCCCTTCTGCCGCGCAGGCGGTGGATCTCCGCAGCCGAGCGAGGGCGGCGCGCTTCGAGGAGCGGAAAGCAGGCAAAGCGCAGACGGGCTCGCCAAGGAGAGTCGACCGCGCCGTCGACTAGGAAAGCTGAAAGGGAGTTGTTTCCCCTCTCCTCTACTTGTGGCTCTTTAGCCCAAAGAGCATTTCTTTAAACAACTTTCCCCCCAAGATTTTTTCTTCTTTTTTAAACTCTGGCTCGCCTGTTCCCAAAAAGTCCAACTGCCGATGCGCGACGGCGACTCTTCCTTTCGGTTCCTCCTCGGAGAAATTGCGGGCGGCGGGCGCGTGTCCGGGGATCGGAGGAGTGAGGCTCCCTTGGCGCCGTCCCTTCGGTTTTGTGCGACGACTTCCTCCCTCGGACCTCTGCGATCTGTTTCCCTTTTCGGGTTTTTTCCCCCACTACCTGCCGACTGGTTTCAGGTGAAACTGACTCACGGGCTACGCTGCAGCCCAAGAGGGGTGTTTCCCTTCCGCGGATCTCCGATTAACTCCTTCCCCGCCGCCTGAACTTCAAGGTGCGCCCTTTAGCAAGAGCTCAGGGAGAGACAAAAGACTCCAGGTGACAGGAAGTGAAATTCAACGCCTGGACACCCAGCCCTTCCTATTTACTTTGAGCAGGCAAGAGGGAAGGGAAAGGGGAGGATGCTTACAGGCGCGCCTTTCCCCCCAGCCGCCTCCTGTGAAAGGGAAGAGGACGGGCAGATCTGAAAGTATTTGGAAGCCCTTTCAGGCCAGGGGGAGAAGGTGAAATGGAAATACTGCCCATTTCTTAGTGCCCGCTTTTCCCTGTGGAAAACGCCAGGCGAAAACGGCAGCCTTTGGCTGATTGACAACCGATGTTCTAGGAAAGGGATTATGGGTTTGTTGTTCTTCATTTTATAATATATATTTTATATTGTATTTTTATGTTGTGAACCTCCCTGAGATATATCGATGAGGGGTGGGATACAATCAAAAATAAAAATAAGATGTTCCAACTGTGGTTCCCTCCCCCATTGATTTCAAATCTAAACATGACTTACATGGGGCATTTCATCTGTGAATCTTCAAATATCCCCACACAGTGAAATGTGTGACATTGAGCAAACATATTTATTATTTATTTACTTATTATCTGCCAAGGAGCTTTAGGAGGCGTACATGATTCTCTCCCATCATGTACCTCACAACAACCCTATGAGGTAGGTTTGGCTGAGAGACTATGATGGGCCCTACGTCACCCAGTGAGCTTCAGGGCTGAGTGGGATTTGAACTCTGATCTCCTGGATCCTAGTCCAGCATTCAAACCACTGCACCACACTGGTTGTACTGCACAATATTATACACTGTATAATTATTTATTTTGTCTAGTTATGTAATACATTTTTAAAACAAACAAATTTAATTAAAGATTTTCTTAGGTTACAAAAGTATGTGCATGGTCTCTTTTTTTCCAGGTCTTGATGTCTTTTCTACAGATCAGTTACATTCAATGTGAGACTGGGAGAGGCTCCCCGCTCACCCATCAATATGCCAGAAATAGTGCCACTGTACAATCCAAGTTAACAACCCAAATCCTGAGCATAGAGGTGCCTAAAAGCTTTCCATAATGGCACATCAGATGTGTTTCCCTGGGGAGGGCTGTAATTCCTTTTTCTAAAAAGAAAGAAAGAAAGAAAGAAAGAAAGAAAGAAAGAAAGAAAGAAAGAAAGAAGCAAGATCACATGAAAAACATATTCTTTGTTCCATGTATAAATCCTTTAAGGAGCTAGATGTGTGCTGCAGACCAGCGGACATCAGATCAGACATGAGGAATCTTCGTCCCACCAGATGTTGCTGAACTACAAAACCCATCAGCTCCAGTGGCCAGGCATGATGGGAGTTGTAGTCCAGCAACATCCAAAAAGGCAAAGGTTCGTCACACCTGCCTTATCCTTCTCTTTGCTCTGATAAAGTCAATTTTGGATCATGTCTGTGATTCAGAAAGGTGGGTGGGGAGAATAAAATTCCCCCTGCCTCTTCATCTGTAGGGCCTGCCCTGCTGAAGTATGGGGAAACCCCTAGATTCATTGCCAGCATAACTAAACTGTAGGTTCACATTCAGAGTCAGAATTCCATTGAACAGCATTTGGAGTGAGTCAACAGAGGGGGAAGGGGCTCCTATCCTCATGCCCTGTTTCTATGGGCTTTCCAAGGGCATCTGGTTAGCTACTGCAAGAAACAGAATCCTAGACTAGATGAAACTTCTCTTGATCCAGTTTTTTTGATGCTGGGAGACCAAAGCTCGCTTTTCTCTCCGTTGCTTTAGCTTAACAATGGGAAGAATCAGAGTTGATGCATCCTAGCAGGTGGGAGCCTGCAAGGCAGATATGAGCCACCCTGGCAAAACCTTCCATCCTCTGCCATGCACTGCCATGCTACTTGGCGCTCCCCACCCTCAGCTGAATGGCAGTGTGGTAGCAGGAGAATTGCAGTCCCCAGATTGTGAGTGTGATGCAGCAGAAGATTCAAGGCATTGCCCATCCCCTTACCAATAGCCCCAGGCTCTTATAACAGGAAAATGATGTCAACAGTTTCTGCAGATTTTGTCTCGAGACGTTATTTGGATTCGATGTAGAAGTGATTTAAAACAAAGCAAAACTGCACAGTTTGGCTGGCTGAAAGTGATGAAGGACACTTCTGCATTATGCTTCCTCAATAGCTGCCACAGTGCTTATTTCCCCTCCTTCCACCCACCAAAAAATAAATAAATTGAAGAACCTCTTAAAAACCACTTTAGGATGGTCACATAAAAATCAACATTGTTTGAAAAGTCAGGGAAGAGAAGACTCTGGCTTTTGTCACCCGTCAAGCAGCCTATGTACAAAGGGTGATTTAAAGGGGTACCTGGGTAGCGTGTGGCGTTGTGGTTTAAACCAATGAGCCTCTTGGGCTTGCCAATTATTTTTTCCTGCCCTTAACCCTGAGGTCCCAGCAATGGGTTACAACAATTAAAGCACAATGTTAAAAGCTGTTTGCAACAACTTACAATCACAGAAATAAGCTGGGTCCTAAAAATATACATCCCAAAGGTCAAAAGACAGGACAAAGAGGGGCATCTTCAGCATTCACTGTGAGTTGTATGATGAAGGTGGCAGATGCACCTTTGTGGGGAGGGAATTTTGCGGCTTAAGTCTAGCCATGGAGAATGTTCTCTTCTGGAGCACCACCGCCCTGAGTTTCTGAGGCTGGTGGAACAACCAAAAGGGCCCCCTCTGCAGATCTGAACACCTGAGAAGGACTATGTGGTAGGAGGGGGTCTTTCAGATATTTGGGGCCTGGGTCATTTAAACACTAATGTGAGCACCTTGAATTGGGCACAAGACAGCTGCCAATCTCTTTCGGTACATAATAGGCGAAACCTTACAGGTGAAACTTTACCTCAGCATCAAGATCTAGTAATGCAGAGGAGGCCTGTTACATTTGAATCTCTGCTTCTTGTGAAGTTGTTAGTGTCACTGGAGCCCTGCCAGAAAAGGGTGGTTACCTATTCAGAAGAACCAGTACGTATTGCTTTCCAATGCCAGAATGTGTGAAAACAGGAATGACTGTGTTTTTTATTTTTCCTACTGCAGCTAGGTCAACCACTACACAATTAGCCTTAATAAGGATAAGGAGAAAGGTTGCATTTTATTAACACTCTTCCGTGAGAGGGCAGGAACAAAACCCATTTTGAATAAATCTGCTACACAGTAACCTTCTGAGAAAATACCAGAGTATTTCGATTATTGGAGTAATCGTCTTTGCTTACCTTCCTCCAACAACAACCATTTCCAAATTCACAAGGCCAGTAAAATCTCCCTGCTCTAATGTGGAGAACCTGTGGCCCTCTAGATACTATAGGACTCCCACTCCCAGCAGCCCCCAACAGCATAGTCAATGGTCAGAGTCATAGATGATGGGAGTTCTAGTCCAGCAACAGGATATCCTGCACAAATGGATACTCAGAAATCTCTGTCAAGCTTGTCAGCAGTTAAAGACATGTGCAGGCAAATATTCATGCGTGTGTAATATTTGCATGCCTGTATTTTATTTAAACATGCCTTTTATTCTAGTAGAACAATGTACTAAGAACCACCAAACATAAATCAAAAGATTAATTGCTAACTCAGCCTTGTATTTATTAGCTCACCTGGTTGACATAGGTGACAAGGAATTCCATGCAGGTGAGTGAGCAGGCTGGTAAACTAGGGACCTATTTTCTCCGTCCTTCCTCTGCCAGCCTTCCACATTGCTATGCTACCTAGCTATGGGGCCATGCCAGAGAGACCTCCTCCTCTGTTCCAAGCATGGAAACATAGTGGGCTGGTGGGGGAAAGTTTTTGCAAACAGTTGCATGGCGTTGTTTTAACTGAGTGTGGAAGAGCTGAAACTAGGACCCAGAATTGTTGCCAGCACTTGCTGCAATTGGCACCTGTCAGTTGTGATGAGACGGATCCTCTCACATTCAGCATTTTTGAAACTCTATTCACAGTTTTAGAGAAACAGATAGAATTAGTTAAAGGACGGGTGCATATTCAAGTATATACACAAGTAACTCTTTAAAAGGAAAAAATCAGTGCAATGCTACCTTTTCCATTTAGCAGTGCCCTGCGGAAAACGTACTTTTCAATTTATAAAGCATTTTGCTTAGTGGTGAAATTTATAGTCTCTAAATGCTGCTTATGATGTAGTCAATTTCATTATCCCATTGACTTGTATAAGACAATTGCAACTCAGACAGTGGGTTGAACATTTTTCTTCTCTGAGGCAAAGGGAAAGAAAGATTGCAAAAAGAAAGTTTGTTCAATTAATTTTTTTGTCTTGTTCTTTCCTAGGTGAGCACTGGATGGAGTGCATAATTCTCTCCTCCCTTTTTATCATCACAATAATCTCATGATGTAGGTTAGATTGACAGACAGAGCCCAAGGTTATTATTGCTTTAAAAATTGCTTATAGTGCACAGTTAAAACATTTTCATGCCATTGAAATGCACATCTGTAAAAACAACAACAGGTTTATTCAGCTATTATCTCATTAGAAAATAGTGACATAAGACACCTGATAGCTTAGGGACTGCATCAGAATTACGCTCGTACATTGTAATCAACATCCTAATCTAACAGACAGGACAAAGCTAGCCAGCAAAAGCATATTTTGAGATATATAGATAGATGACAGATAGATAGATATAGATAGATATTGTGTTATTTAAATGTATTTCTAATTGAGCTGTTTGATATGCTGAAAACTGCATAGTACTGATGCAATAAAGGACGGTCTATGAAATATAATGAATACATATTAAACATTCTAAATAATAAAAAATAAAAGGTGGTTTCTTCTAAAATACCACTGTTGGTACCAGTGGGGCACTAAGAAAAACGTACTGACACAGAATCCAAAATATAAATATAGGCAGCTTCAGAATGTCTAGTATGCTGGCTTATCTAAGGTCAACTAATTTGTGTGTTGTCTTTTTCTCTTAACTCTTTATTTGTTTGCAGTTTCCACATAAGGTCACAAATTCTTATCAAGAATAAATACTGGGCCTATTACATTGCATGACTTTCCATGGAAACTGTCTGCCCAGAGCAGAC